GAGTGGCCGCTGCACTCCAGTCTGGGCGACCGAGTGAGACTCCAACTCAAAAAAATAAAAAATAAAAAGAAATAAAGTGAGTCAGTACCTGGCATTACCAGAAACTGCAAGGGGCCCTGTTTTTGTTATCTCTTTCTTCTGGGTCCTTTGATTGACTTACTCCATCATGAGAATTTAGGTCATCTGGAAAATTTCCAGTCATCAGGGAGTATTTTCCTACTGAGCTATTCTGTAAGACTAGACGCAGCTGCCTGTCTGTCAAACCTCAGGCACTTTCTACTCATCAGATCAGAAATAAACAATATCATGCTTCTTTTGACTCAACTCTAGTGTCTTTGAAGTAGAAAAACGTGTCTTAGCTGCACATGGGAAAGCACTCTGCATTTGCAGACATATTCTGTGTGACTGTTTGCTAATAGGCAAGGCCAGAAAAATAAAAAATTCTCCTTCAACACAGAACAGAGACCACAGACTACGCACATTAGATATAATTATTTGAGCTTTGGTGATGGACGGTGTCACTGTGGTCTTGTTTATCAGACCAGTGGTTCTCCTGGTTCTACTTATTCTATTACATTTATTTTATTTATTTATTTAGAGGGTTGGAGTCTCACTCTGTCGCTCAGACTGGAGTGTAGCAGCGCACTCACAGCCACTGCAGCTTTGACTTGCTGGGCTCCGGCGATCGTTCCACCTCAGCCTTCCAAGTAGCCGGAACTGCAGGCGTGCGCTACCAGGCCCGGCTAGTTTTTTGATTTGTTGTAGAGACAAGGTCTCACCAAGTTGCCCAGGCTGGTCTTGAACCCCCGGGTTCAGGCAATCCTCTCGCCTCAGCCTCCCAAAGTGCTGGGATTACAGGCTGAGCCACCACGCCTGGCCATTCTATTAAATTTAATAAACAAAGTGTTATTGACTGCTCATCATTATATTAAAGGTAAATAATGCTGTCTTATAAAGAAGAACTGAGGCTGGTTTAGCATTCCCTAAAAATATTTCTGTTAGATAATAGAATACACTAAGTTCCTATTAATATTAGATAATATGTGGGGGTCTCCCCCAAAATGGAATTATTTTTTGGAGGGCAGACCCCTGGTAGTGCAAGCTCCCCCTACTAGATAAGTGTTCTAGAACCAGCTAGTGTTTTTGTGAGAGTATACGTTTGGCTTCAGTGAATTTTGTGTTTGCCCATTTCATGATGGGTAATTTACGAGGACATCTGCCTGTACTGTGCTGAGTGTTCAGTGGTTTTTGACCAAAACCAGCATGACCTCCGTGCCCTCCACTCCCTGTTCACGGAATCTCACCCTGAGCGACTTGTTTTTGTTTCCCTGGACAAAAGAAGTCCTCAAAGGGAAATGTTTTGCTGATGTGGAAGAGGTGAAACAAAAAACGGCAGAAGCATAAAAGGCATCAAAATTGACGGTTCAAAACTGTTTTGAGAAGCGGAAAAAGTGCCTCAATAGGTGTATTGCATCAAATGGAGAGTACTTTGAAGGTGACTGAAGTTTAAGCACGTAAGAAGAAATACACACTATCTTATAAATAAATTCAGGGTTTCTGAGGGGTCCCCTCTCATAAAAATGTATTATTTTTCTTGAATAATCCTCAGGTTACCACTGGCAGTTGCTCGTTAAGGTGCAAACATAGGCATGTCAGCCATTTTCATGCCCTAACCCAATATGCCCTACCTGAAGTCATTTTTGAAATACAGTATTTATTTAAACAGATAAATAAACTTACATTATATATATAACTGTATGGAGAAATCTGTTGGGGAGAACAGAGTCTTCAGAAAACAATAACCTATTTTTCATTGGCTGGTAAACAGAAACCGAGTTAAATGTTTGTTTGCTTTGTTTCAAGCCATTTCAGTCTTCTGGAAGTGGCTACACATTTATTTTTGTTTGTTTGTTGTTTTTAATGTGTGTTTAATGAAAAGTAGCTTTTATCAAGTTTTTCTTCTACTCAGGAATTTGTTTCTAATGGTTTGCTAATTCTCCCTGGGAGTTTATAAATGCCATCATTTTGTTCATGGTTATTTGTTTACCTCTGACATTTTGTTTCTTGGCTTGGAGAAGAGGATGAGTTCTCCCTTAAACTCACCTACTCCCCAAGATATCAAGTGGATATCATTTTCTAAAGAGAAATTCATTAACAAATAAGAGGGAGGAGGAAAAAGCAGAGTTCATGTAATAGTTATTATAGCATTGGTCGTTTGCGGTGTTGTGTTCATATTTAAAAGGGTAAGTTGAGGTCACAACTGAAGACGCACTGGTTGGGGCTGAATGAACTGCCTCTCTGGGCGGAGACGCTTCTTTGTGTTCCCTTTGCTGGGCCTGGCCTTCTGATGTAGCCGGCTCACAAGCATGAATTCATAACAAAAGCACACAAATGTGCTGGTGGGAAGGGGAGTTGTGGTCCAAGGGGCTGGCTTCCAGGACCAGCTCTGAGGGCTCAGAAGTCTCTTGCTTGTGTAGACCGTGCTTCTCATCTCTAAGTTGGAATATTAATGTCCATTTTTTGAGCCTAAATATGTCAGATGTAATGTCACGCAGAGCCCTGCACATTAAACAGGGAAGGGGAGTATCTCTGGTTTGAGGGCAGGGAGTAGAACTCAGCTTTCCACTCAACTACGCTTTTTTCCCATCATAGCCCTGAAAAAAAAAATACGACTGGGTCTATTATTACCCCGATGAGGTGTTGGGCCTCCAAGAACATTAAACTTGGATTTCAATAGTATCTTTTAAAGTGAGGATTAGTGGATATATTGCTCAGATAATATACCGAGGAAATGGGGATAAAGCATTCTATAGTCACTAAAAATCTGTCTAGAATGTGCTGATTGTTAGACTCACTAGAGTTAAATGTTGCTTCTGCATTTTTCAAACTTTTTGCCTGATTCACGGCAAGACATACATTTTATGTTATGACCTAGTATACAACGGGAATAGAAAATGTTTTGTGAAGCGATACTTACCCTTACTACAAGCAGTGTACCCTATTTTCTACTTTATTTTATGATTTTATTTGTTTAAACAAATTCTGCTATTGACCCTATAAATTGATTTCATGAGCCGCAGATGAACGAGTCACTGAAATTCTGCCATTTTCTTTAGGGCAACTAGAAATTTCCAGAACCTACAGAATTCTGGAAAGAAAATTTTCCAGAGGCTGCAGACTGATGTGTGTATCCAGGTGATAACGAGGGATGGTGTCCCCTCTTGTCCTCCCCTGGAACTCATGCTGCCTCCCCAGCAAGTGTGTCTGGTTGACACAATCATTAGGTTGACTCTCCATGCATTTCTTACACTGATTGAAAAAAGCTTTAGGGGGGTAAAAAACCAAACCGTGGCCTCAGTGCTGGTTGCTACCAGAAGGCAAACACCCTTGTGTGGCAGCAAGCATACTCTCCAGGTATAGTACTGTATGTGTTTGGGCTGTCCAAAGATTCTGAATGTGGCTTATTAAACTGTCCACATCCTAAAAAAACATGAGACAGGTAAAGCACTGCATTTTCCCAAGACTTTGGTTTCAACATTTCCCCTCCAAATTCATAACATCCAAAAAACTGAATTTAAATCTTATATATCAGGAAAGATGTAAGTTTGTTAAGTAAACGTATTAATGAATACCTGACTATGGAATCCCAGCAGCAAATAGAAAAATCCCACTGGATGTGGCTATTTCTTCAGCCTACCTGCTGCCCTTGCAAGATAGAACATATGAAGAGAAAGATTTCTCTTCCTCTTTCCCACAATGCCATCATCTAGCGATGATCCCTGTTCATATCTTTATATGGATCCATTTTACTCTGTATGATATGTTGTGATGCTGGTAAACAATTTAGGCCATTTTTTTTTTCATTTGAGATTTAAAAAGAAATATTTCATTATGTGGTATTAAAAAAAAAGTTACACTGTATCCCATTATGTGGATTTCATTTACCTAATCTACTCATGCTGGACATGTAAGTGGTTTGTAGTTTTTCCACTGTTATAAAAAATGTGATGCACATCTTTGCACATGAAAAGCTTATTAGAATTTGGAATATTTCCTTAGGACAAATTCTCAGAAGTGGAATCATTGGGTAGAAGGTAGTTGAAACATATTATCAGATTCCCCCAACAGAGTCTGCGAGGGCTGACTTTTCCATTCTCAGCAGTCTGAGTGATGGAAGCCTCATTGTGATGGCAGCACGGACAGCAGGCTCTCCCAGCAGAGCAGGGATTTTGTGGGCACACACAAAACAGATGCTGAGATGTCCTTAAAATTCCCTTTGCCCTTGAAGAGACATATGTGCTCACTGATTGGGGAAAAATTCCCTTTGTAGAAAACCTTGTGTGCAAGTATTTTTTAGGGGATGGGTGTGGTGCAATTTAAGTAATCATTTTAGTCTCATTTGTAGTTTTATTGGTTTGGACTCTGTTCCACTGGGCTCATTATAAATAAAACGTTTGTGGACTTATTTCTGTATTTTCAGCAACAGAAACTTCTGTATTTTCAGCAACAGAAGAAAACATGTTTGTATACAGGGTTTCACTGAAATAGTGATTTTTTGTGTGTGTTTTATGTACATTTTACAAATAACTTTGTAGCCCTCCCTCTCCAATTCTGATACATTTTATTAAATTGGCACTTTTGCATCCTTGGAAATGTTCATTTCCCACAGGAATTTGTTTTACGCTTTAAATACTTAGTTGTGGTGTTGAGATTGGCAGAGGTTTTTTCAAAATATACAAATGTGGCTTTTTTTCCCTTTGATATAGATTATTCTTCATTCTATGCACAAATATCAACCACGAGTCCACGTCATCCGCAAAGACTGTGGAGATGACCTTTCCCCCATCAAGCCGGTTCCATCTGGGGACGGAGTGAAGGCCTTCTCCTTTCCAGAAACTGTCTTCACAACTGTCACTGCCTATCAGAATCAGCAGGTATTGTTCTCAGAATTATCTTTTTAGACTTTTTGTTTCAGACGTAAACAGGAAGCTAGCTGTCCTATTCACTGCATCTAAATGTTATGAATTCTCTTAAAGTATTTGCCATATCTGACATCCAAATTGTGTGTGTCTGTGTGTGTGTGTGTGTGTGTGTGTGTGTGTGTGTGTGTGTGTGTGTGTGTGGTCATATACACTATGGAATACTACTCAGCCATAAGGAAGAACAAAATCATGTCCATTGCAGCAACATGAGTGCAGCTGGAGGCCATTACTTTAAACGAATTAACATAGAAACAGAAAACCAAATACTGCATGTTCTTATTTATAAATGGGAGCTAAACATTGGGGATGCACAGGCATAAAGATGAGAACAACAGACACTGGAGACTCCTAAAGGGAGAAGGGAGAGAGAGGGCAAAAGTTGGAGAACTACCCAAAGGGTACTATGTTTACTGTGTGGGTGACGGGTTCAATGGAAGCCTAAACCTCACCATCATGCCAGACACCCGTGTGCCAAACCTATATATGTACCACCTGAATCTAAAATAAAAATATTTAGACTAAAAACCTACAGCATATGTATATAGTAATGACAATTCTTGATTCCCCAAGTATGGCTACTCTAGTGACTTCTTTAAACAAGAATGTGTCTCATGGCTGACAGTGTAAGTCTACTTTTCATTTTGAGATGCTGAATTGTAATGTCATTATTAAAATTAGAAAGTATGTTTGTTGCCTAGGAAATAGACATATAACATATAAAAGAAGAATTAATTGTAGAGCATGGTATTCAGTAGCTCACTTTATTTTAGAACTGAATTAGGAGAAATACTTCCAAAGTATCCAGTACAGTCATTTTGGTGTATATAAAAAAAGGGCTTTTTTTTCAAGACATGCTTTAATTGTGAAAGAAGGGTGATGATGTACATGCTTACAGTCTGAGAGATCAGAAATTATGAAATAATACTTTCTTGAAGTTAGAAATAGTTTGAGAAATGAAGTTTTTTTTTTTCTATACGGTTACATATATTTCTTTAAGGCTGTGCTTGCATGTGTCAAGTAGATAGAAAATTGAATTGGAGGCAATGTGCAATCCATGCAATTCCAACCTATTCATAGGAAATATCCATGCAAGAGAGGCTGACGTGGTCTGTGGTAGAATTTTTTTTCTTCTTCTGACTTTCAGCACTCGTCAGAATTGTTTTAGAGCCGGGCTCGGTGGCTCAGCCTGTAATCCCGCGCCTTTGGGAGGCTGCGGTGAGTGGATTGCCTGAGCCCGCGGGTTCGAGACCCGCCTGGGCAGCGAGACCCCGTCTCTACAATAAATCAAAAAGTTATTAGCCGAGCTTGGTAGCGCGCCTGTAGTTCCAGCTACGTGGAAGACTGAGGCGGAAGGAACGCCGGAGCCCAGCAAGGAGGGGAGGCTGCGGTGGCCGGGAGCGGCCACGCCCTCCAGCCTGGGCGACAGAGTGAGGCTCCAACTCAAAACAAACAAACAAACAAACAAACAAACAAAGAATTGTTTCAGGTCTGCATTCTCTTTACATTTGTGTGCATCTCAGGTAAACATGGAAGGCTTAATCTCTCTGCTGTGGCTTCTGTTGCTGAGAAGCTTCTAAGGCGTTTGGTTCCCACCCCATAGGTTCTTCGGGGCTGCGAAGCTCCACAGCTCTCATCCGTGTGGAAACTCCAGTCCCAAACCGAAGCCGCCTGCTGTCATGCTCATGCTGCCACTCTTGGAGACTTTTAGGGAGGAACATGAACTGGAACCTTTGGAGGGTCCAGAGATAATTAGGAAGATAATTAAAAAGTGTATTTGGGGCAGGAAATTATTTTGGGGGGGGATTAATGCATGAGGAGAAAATAGCAGGGGTGCTTAGCACCCTTTGAATAATCTCAATTCATTCTCTCTCTGTCTCTTTCTCTGTCTCTGTCTCTCGTACTCTGGCTCTCTGTTTCTCTCTGTCTCCATCTCCATCTCTGTCTCTCTGTCTCTGTGTCTCTCTCTGTCCCTGTCTCTCTCTCTCTCTCTCCCCCTCTCTGTCTCTGTCTCTGTCTCTCTCTCACACATACACAAATTGACTGTTCCCTGTGTGTATTTTCTCTCACCCTCATTGGTGCAGTAAGTGTCATGTGGTAGAACTTTTGGCACATGTTGGTGACTAACACCAATTAGTAAACATTGATGAGTCGATTACGATGATGAAAAAATTAGAAGGGAAATTGACAACTGGGAAATACAATCACCTTTTCATTTCAGAGTTACTGTTTCTAAGAACCTATGGAAAATGGGTAAGCAGACTCACCTAGTGGTTAACAGCATGGGCTTTACAACCTAGGATCCTCATCCATTTCTTTTGGCTAGCAACCCATGATCTTAGGAAAATTACTGAAACCTCAGTTTAAATTAAAACAAAATTGAAATAATAGCAAGAGTTGCTCTAATAATGAAATGAGTCGCATGCATAAAACTTAGCATAGCTATACATCATATATACTCAACAAATGTGGTAATATTAATAATAAAAACAATGGTAAGATTGATTGTGCTATATCTCTATTTAGAGAAGATACCATTATATACATCTATACTCTTTTAAAATTAATATTTTAAATGAACATTTAAATCACTTAATGTTATTTAAGCATTATTGAACAGAAAACTGAGCTATAATGACATGTAAAGAAGAATTCCTTCAATGATAGAACAGTGTACATGGTAAATCAATGAGCAAACCTTTTCGTTGTATCTTTTATAATGTAGTTTTTATCCACATACTAAGACAAGATCCTATGGAGCAATGTGTGTTTTAAGTGTTTGCAGCTGACTGGAGGGACTTGCATAGGCACTGTAGGAGTGCTGCAGACGACGTTCCAAAGTTGCCTTTCTTCGCCTGGTGTTATCCAGCAGTTTTCGTCCTTAGCCAAGATGGTACAATCAGAATTCTGTTAATCAACTTTGCAGAGTTCATTAAGCAAAGGAATTTGGAAAGCAAAGCATGATGTGCCTGTTAGAAAATAGACTGTAAATTCCTCTGGGCAGAGTACAGATCTCATAATAAACAGATGGGATGTTAATTATTAGTGTCAAATTCAGGATGAGATAACTTTAAAAAAAATTAATGGAAATGATTAGATTATTTGTAAGAATTTTCTTTGCAAATCTTGGTGTCCTAGTGAACAATAATCTGGTTATGAGTCAACAGATAAAAACTCCAGTTAAAATGAAAACATCATGTACAGGAAGCATTTCACAATGTATATGTATTCACATATACATTCACATCACATCATGTGCCTTAAATATAAAACTATATAATTTTTTATTTTTAGGTTAAAAAATTAAAACACCAATTATTTTTGCTACATGTAGTATTGGATTTAATGTCATTTGAACCTTTAAGTAGTGGTTACCTCTGGGTAGATGTTGGCTGTAGTTTTCTGACCAGATTAGGACTCCACAGATACAAGACAAAAGAATAAAACCTTCAGATGTGAGCCACAAGGAAGATAAGAGAAGAGACAAAGAAAAATACGGGGGCGGAAAATTAAAGGAAGGTGTGTATTATTACCTAATTATGAAGAAGAGAGGTCTGCGTAGGAGCATAACAACATTCAAGCATGTAAATGGCTGTTAAATAAAAGTTGGATGTGAGTTCTGCATCACTGCTATTGCAAGGGAAATAGATTAAACCATGTCCCAGGATTAAAAGAACTTCAGTTAAGAGAGGATTGTCAAACACACAGGGCAAGTTATCAATAGACAATTAAAAATCTCGTGTTTTATTGCAGCTTTACTGCTAGGATATTAAAATATCTGGGGAATAGAAGCGAGGTATAGAATCCCTCAACAGTTAGTTTTTGAATCATGTGAGGTTCTGCAGTCATTTCTGTTGTTAAGAGCCTTAGTTGGCGTTTGTGTAAGATTTGATGGGATTTTTTCTACTCTGCAGATTACTCGCCTGAAGATCGATAGGAATCCATTTGCCAAAGGTTTTCGAGACTCTGGACGCAACAGGTAGGTCTCCATGAAGAACATTCTGGTTGTGATAAAGATATTTTATTTTTTGTTGTGACTTTTCCATTACGAGGTCATTGGCTAAATTTACTGACATGGTATTGAAACCCTTTTTGATGAGGATTTAAATTTGTTAACGCTGCTGTGCCTCAAAGGCAGCTTATTTTTGTAGTGTGCTGATATGACCTGCTCTAAGGTGCGTTTCCATTTGTGATGCTGAGATGAAGATACAAGCCCTCAGGTGCGCCCTGCATGTTGTTTCTGAAGGAGCCTTTAAGAAGCCTGCCCTGACAGGTCTGGGGGCTTCAGTATTCCAAGTGGGTATCCTCTCTGCCTCTACCACTGGTTTAGAATTTCCCTGGTGATGACACAACTATCTGTTGGTTCTGTCTGTGGAGTGTGGTGGAGTCTTTTGTTAGCTCAGATTTCCAGCTGGAATATGAAACTACCCCCCCATTGCCAAGAGAGTGATGCTCTTTAGTTTCCAAATTGGTCTTGGCTCCACTGATAGCCACACACTTGTTTATTTTTTCTGTGTTGTGTTTTACGGTGTTTGTACTAAGTGGGAGAGCTGTAGTAATGAATTCCATTCTATTAATTCTTATCAAAAAGCAGATCACCTAGTCTGTGTGCCAAGACTTTTTAAATTCATTGATATGGTTTTGTTCCAATACAGTTCAGTGTAACATTTTCTAAAATAACTGTTAGCAGTATTACAGAGTAATAATAGACTAAAGTTCTCCAAGTGCTATTAAGGGTAAGGCTTTGACTTAAATGGCTTTAAAAGCAGCTTGTTTTAAAAAAAAGAATAAGTATTTGAGCAATCGATGTTACTGTATTCTCAAAATTATTCTAATACTCTGAAAATCTCCAATTATTTTTAAGACAATTTCATTTGAAACTTTAGCAGGGAAGGGATCCTTAGTTATTTCACTTGATTAATTGGGCAACATAGGTAACAAACCTTTTTATCAGAATGCACTCGTGAGCTTGCAGAGACGAGATGCCATCTTCACATGCAATGAGGACCGAAATGCAACTGCATTGCATTGAGACTAGAGTAGCCTTCAACTAAGTACAGGTGGATAAACAAGATTTCCTAATAGCAGGCTTCCCTCTGAAATTCTTCACTCTGCGGGAAGGTGTGCAGGCATTCCTAACACACAAAAGTTGCCTGCTGTATTGACATTATTGTATGTCTCTAGTTGTCTGTTTCAATGTGGATTTAAAAATTGCTTGGCTTTTATGTTGTTACATTAGCTCCTGGTTAAGCTTGCTTTTTCAGGTGTTTCTGAAAATCAGGTGCAAATTTAATCATTATTTAATAGCTATAAATGGTCACTTAGTGAGGTGGCTGAAGGAAACCTTTGGAATGACTCTTAATCTACTTTGACAAATGATTTGATGGAATCACCTTGTGATGTTTATTATAGCAGAACAATATTTATCCATTTCAAAGTCTTGTATTACTTTAAGCTATTTTTTCCTAAATAGAAGAGGTATCTATTAAAATTCACTGAAACTTCAGGAGGGCAGTACTTGGGCTTAGAGAATATACAGCACAGCTAAGTCCAAGCTATTGATTGTTCTAGCAAAGATTTCACTGCTAATGACTGGGGATTATACTGCTTGTACCTTGCCAGTTCATTTTTAAAGCAATACATTACAAGAAAAACATTTTTAAAAAGCATATGTTGGACATATAATAATAGTGAATGTACCTTCTACAAGAAGGGAGATGGTAGGTGCATATGATAAGTGTTCAGGAAGAGTTCTAGGTCTGTCAGCACACTGAAGATAGATACTTAGCTGTTTGAATTTGGTCAATGAAAAAAAAACAGTGGCATTGGTGAAAATAAACTGCTAGGCCTATTGTTTGGTTGGGTGAGTTCAAAATGCTGACTTTGAAATGGGCTTTTCCATGCCTTTGGCTGCTTTGGAGTATGTATGCATGGCATCCTTGGTGCTTGTTACTATTTCTTCTCTGACTCCAAAACTTGTAAAATTTTTGAAAGGACATGCTCAAGATAATGAATTCTGTTTTAATATGTTTTAAATTTTGTTAAAATTTGGATTTTTTGTTTTGCTCTGAGTATTTTAGTAACATCTTAATACAGATAATCATAACTATAGTATTATATATATAATATAATAATGCATGTCAAACCTATACATAGCTAGTGAAATAAAATTTCAACTATTTTCTCACTGAAATTACTTCTCTTGCTGATCATAGATAAGGTCTTTACTGCTCACTTTGGAATGTTAAATGTCTATGAATCGTTGCTCCTCTTTTAAAATATTTGACTTTAACATTTGCCATTGTTAAATGCAAAATACATTTATGTGGAGAAGAAAGAATTTGGTCTGCTTTAAGCATTCCTAACCTGTGTATTATTTTTCTTTAAAAAAAAGAGTTAAGTTATGCATAAGACTTGGTGGAGGGTACAGTGAGTGGTTTGGGGGGCATGGGCATGGGGGAATGTGATATTAAAAAAAAAGTATTAATAAAGAAGAATGCCCATGAGAAAAAGTTTAATATATTCCTCTATTACCCTTGGTTCTATTTTGCTGTTGTTAGTGCTTTTTAAAACAAATTATGTTTTTATTTTTCCCCATACATGAAATAAACAAATTGACCAAGACGATAAATAAACATGAATTTGTGATTGTTTAAACTTTATAAAACAATCTGCTTTAATTAATAATTGTCCTTTCCTGGCTATTTATGACTCCACAGCCTATTTTACAGGAATCAGTAGCTTCAGCCCTTAAAAGCTCTCTTGCAAGACATTTGCTACGTGAGAGAGAATTTATGTGCTGAGAATAGTTTCATTCTTCAGTTAGGCCTTAGGTTTGACCCTATAAAATTTTTTACTGAGGAAGGTACAAAAATTTCTTCTCTTTAAATACTTTAGGAAAAACATAACCATTTTACTAAATAAACTTGGCCATTTGATACCATAAATTAGGGCGGTGATAAAATGTGGAAATTGTTCAAAGGCATCTTGTATAAATTATCACCTTGGCTACACTCCTGCAGGAGGTGCCTTTTATCTTTTCTTTAACTAGACGGGAAAAGTCTCCATTACTGGAGAAAATGAAGGCCCTAAAAAAAAAAAGCCCAGATTTGGCTAATAAATATTTTATAACTGTTTCCTGCAAAATATCTGAAATCCTTTCTGGAACTTGCAGTGTGAAACAGCAACCTCAGGAAAAATATCAATAGCTCCAGATCAGATCACTTGTAGATATGTAGCCCTTAGGACATCTCTTTAGTGCTTAGGGTTCTCCATTTGTGATGATCAATTGCTTCTCCCCAGGAATTTGGTCTATGGATTTATATTTGAAGCATAATAAAGTTGACATCGCTAAAGCAGATAAGGCAGTGATACACATCTCTGTAGTTAATACATTTCTAAGTTCAGTATTAATAATATTACTAAACCCTCCTCGAGACTGCTTTGTAAGCACTTTGGTATTTGATATTGAAAATATCAAATATTTGATATTTAAAACTGCCATTTCCAAAACTCATCTGTGGTAATAAAATGACGTTTTAACATTCTTTGCATATAAAATAATCTTGTTTCTAGAAAGTCATAAAAATTTAGTATTGGTATAAACGGAATGGAGGGTAATCAGCTAAACTGCACCAGTGTTCATTAGTCCAGTGTTAAATACAGCCCCAGGCAATGTGGGGTTTGGGACTGACCAGGCCTGCCAGATTGCCCAGAAGTCAATACTTTAATGTACAGAAAAGATTGAGGGACATGATCTTGGATCTGGCTTGCAGTTCGGCCATAGATAGGATGTCTGGCTCGGGAAACAAAATCACTTAGAATGAAACAAATTTGGAGCTGGGGGGGGGCTTCAGAGTTCTTGGAATCTCATCCCCACCTTAGGGGAAACTGAAGTCCAGGGAGATCAAGAAGTGGGAAGAACTAGTTTTAGTGAGTTGCTGTCCCGGTACAGTCCTCCAGACCCCAATCTAGTTTCCTTACACTAAATAGTTCTCTCTCTCTCTGACGTCTTGATCACATGGGAAGCCAGATTCTGGTCTTCCCTCTCTGTGTAGCGAGGCAAAGCAGGTGCAGGTCCCCTCTGTTCCCACCCTCCCCTTTGGCAGCCTCACACTGGCACCTGCACGGGACTGTGGGCGTCCCTCTGAAGTACTCCCAGAGGAGCACCTCCGGAGCCACTGACTTAAGAAATGAGTCAGGTCCGTGTGTGGACGCATGAAGGAGTGTTCATGCATGCAATCCTGCACACACACACCCCTGCCCATCCACACACGCACAGCTGCGTCCTCTTGTCACTATGACGGGTACGCATACTTCTCCTAGATTAAGGATATAAATCAGTACATTAATGGATACTCTGCCCTGAACACTCAAAGGAACCAGATTCTCTGTGCGAAACCTTGGACAGAAGGACAAATAGTGTGAGATGGTTCTATCCACACAACTCGCTAGCACTGGTGTTCGGGGCCTTCGCCATGTTGTGTAGATGGTATGGACTCTCAGGGCTGGTTCCCTCTCATCTTAGTTCATTGTTCCCGATTTGAGGGCACAGAGGATCCAGAGGAAGTGTCGCCGTTGAGTCAAGCTATTAAAAATATCTGACAATCACAAGAGATGTGTGAGTACTATTGGACATCCCAAGAAGCAAGCATTTTCTACAGTGGAGCAATAGGTTTCGTGAAAAGTGTAATGTTATCTAGATTAACTAATTGCTTAAGACGGAGGTGGTTGAAGGACGACTCGTGATGTCTTAGGTGTGGTGGTCTTGAGAAGGGGCTCGCTGAGTGAATGGAGGGCCTTATTCCTAGAACCTGAAAGACTTAGACCTAGATAGGAGGAGGAGAAAACGGCATCACTTATAGTAGAAGGTGATTTTCAGATACTGGGCAAGCCAAAAAAATGTATACACATTTTAAGAGATATTCACCATAATCAGAAATGTCTGGATACTGATAGTAACTACTTTGAGCCCCTCTTATAATTGCAGAAGCCAAACGAGACTTGTATTCACCTTGAGTATTATAATTTTAATATTGTTTTTTTCCTTTCTTAAAATACGTATACATTGTTTTGGCACCCTCTGTGTATATATGTTGTATAAATAGTCCTTAACCAACATACCCTGCCTCTTTAAGTATCCATCCGTTCAGTGTGTTTGGGGGCTTCACAATAATTTGTGATGGTTTGCTAACTCCATATACCAGATAGCCCTGTGGGATCACCTTCCCAATCTCCTCCTGCTTTAGGGAGAGCCCAGTCTGGAAGCCTAGGTATGGTGGAGATTATGCCCCTCAGCGAGAAATGAGGATTTTTTTGGATGAGGGCCTCCCTGAGCTGGCTGCTGAGGCACCACGTGATGGGCAGCAATGCCTCTAAGATGGGGAGGTGGCCTTACAGGGACATGCCTTTGTTGCAGTGCCTTTCTCACCAGAGGGGGAAGTGACAGGACAGGGAGAGAGGCTGTGTTCCAGATCACAGAAGAGCCTTGGACTCACAGCAGCCAGATGGACTCCCTTCACCTCAACTTCTGAGCCCAAAGGGACAGCTTTTCATCCCCTTGCGCCGGCTAAGTTTTCCCAAGAATGCTAGTTAGCAGGCATCTTGAGTGGTTTCCATTCTCTCATGCTCCTGTGACACATTTTTTCCTGTCTGTGGCAAGCTCCTAACCTGCCAGTCGTGGAGGGTGGGGGTTGCTGTCACACTGGTGTTTTTTCCTAAGATGCTTCTAACTAGACTTCCTTTGTTCAACCCCATTCTGACCCTTCTCCTTAGGATGGGTTTGGAAGCCCTGGTGGAGTCGTATGCCTTCTGGAGGCCTTCGCTCCGGACTCTCACCTTTGAAGATATCCCTGGAATACCCAAGCAAGGTAACTCTCCAAGTCTCCTGGGTCACATATGCAGCTGGTTCCAGCCTAGAGCTCAGATACTAAGAAGGCACAAGTCATCGTGTATACTTGCAGTGACGACCTCATCACCAAAATTCTCCTCCTACAGACTCCATCTGTTTTCTGTGTGGTGTAGGGATGGACCAGGAAAAATGGCTGCCACAGTCATGAGTTAAATCTTGGATGTTGGAAGCTGTGTCTGTATTTCATGACCTTTACCACATCCTTAAATTTCGTATTAAAATTAGAGGTGGACTGGTAGACTCCGGTGCCAGGTGCACTTCACGGGAAATTACTGATGCTGGCTCCAGTCCAGCCTTTCTTGGTGGCTTCTTTCTTCTCTTCCTTTAGCAGAATTGCCTCTGGGTGGAGTTCTCCTTTGGGTTAATGATGAGTGGGTCAGGCTCACTCACAGTGCTGGGTCAGTTCCAGCACTTTGGGAGGCTGAGGCAGGAGGATCGCTTGAGCCCAAGAGTTCGAGACCAGCCTGGGCAATAGAGTGAGACCTCCTCTCTGCAAAAAAATGGAAAAATTAGCCAGGTGTGGTGGCAGGCACTGGTAGTTCCAGCTTCTTGGGAGGCTGAGGCAGAAGTACTGCCTGAGCCCAGGAGGTCAAGGCTGTGGTGAGCCAAGAGCATGCCACTGCCCTTCAGCCTGGACAGCAGAGTGAGACTCCGACCACAAAAGCAAGCAAGAAAGAAAAATAAATAAATTAAAATGATGGTGAGAAGGTCAGGTGTACTCAGGCAGACCTCCCTGGATTCCTCTCTGAATCTTTTCCATCAGCCCAGAGCGCGTGTCTCCTCAGAGGGAGATGCGGAGAAAGGGACGGTGTTTGCTCTTTGGTCTGCTCACTGGATGGGCTTCTTGGTTCACTTCTGCAGTCAAGCCTTTGCCCATGGTTATCCCCAGCTTCCAGTGAGGCCCTACCGTGCTGAGTTTCAGATAATTATCATTGGTTGGATTGGGCTTTTAGATTATTTTGAGAAGCTATATAAAACACCATTGCTAGAAGGTTTTACAACCTGTCCAGCCCTTTGGAATTTTCCTCTCCCCTTAAGCTCTGTCAAGGTTGCAAACATCAATCTGCCAGCAAATCCAGAAGGGGAGTCAGCCACCACCACTTTATTGATTGGAAGCAGGGCTAACCACACTTTACAAGTTTCACAGGACTGTTTATTTGCTGGACAGCCCGTTTTCTGTTGGAAATTAGATTTTTGAAGTGCCACACTATTGTCTTACAGCATGGGGCGATCACTGATGCAGGCAAGCTTTCAGTGAGAAGCTGCCGAGATGGTGGAGGCATTTTCTTTGAGTTCACCAGTTCAGTGCTTTCCTTTAAGTTACTTCTTTTCCTTGCAAGAAAATATATTGATCCAGAGCAGGCTTTGCTAAAAGAAAGGGTAAAGGCGGGTAGAAGAGAGGGGATGGTTACACTTTTAGTAAGATATAGAGTAAGGTGGAATTTATATTTTCAAAGTTGCTGGTAAACTCTAATGTTTGTTATCATAAATAAGAAAAGTTTGGGAAGACAAATTGAGGGAGAAAATGTGACAATACTATGTGATAGTGTCCTGTCATCTGGGGAGATGATTTGCTTTGGAAATAGTGACCGAATCTCCAGTGTAGGCCATAGGGAGACCTGGTCTCCACCAAAAATAAAAAATAAAACAACAAAAATACTAGCCGGGCGTGGTGCTGTATGCCCGTGGTCCCAGATGCTCGAGAGGCTGAAATAGGAGGACTGCTTGAGCCCAAGAGGCTGAGGCTGCGGTGAGCCGTGATCATGCCACCGCACTCCATCCTGGACAACAGAGTGAGACCCTGACTCAAAAAAATGTATATGTATCTATTGACAGAATCTGGATTGAAATGATTTCAGTCTGAATTCAGGTACATCATCACCTTTTGAAAGCTGCTTCTTTTCAGCTTCATCTTCTCTTCAGCTTGGCAGCACCTTCTCCTCCCCTGCCTCGTAACGAACTGGGTCTAACGCACAGTTGCAGAGCGGGAAGGAAAAGATGGCTGTGGAGTCCTCCTTGACATCTCCCTTCTTTTGTAGGCAATGCAAGCTCCTCCACCTTGCTCCAAGGTTCTGGGAATGGTGTTCCTGCCACCCACCCTCACCTTCTGTCTGGCTCTTCTTGTTCCTCTCCCGCCTTCCATCTGGGGCCCAACACCAGCCAGCTGTGCAGTCTGGCCCCGGCTGACTATTCTGCCTGTGCCCGTTCGGGCCTCACCCTCAACCGATACAGCACGTCCTTGGCCGAGACCTACAACAGGCTCACCAACCAGACCGGCGAGACCTTTGCCCCGCCCAGGACTCCCTCCTATGTGGGCGTGAGCAGCGGCACCTCCGTGAACATGTCCATGGGTGGCAGTGACGGGGACACCTTCAGCTGCCCACAGACCAGCCTGTCCATGCAGATTTCGGGGATGTCTCCCCAGCTCCAGTATATCATGCCTTCACCCTCCAGCAATGCCTTTGCTGCCAACCAGACCCACCAGGGTTCTTATAACACCTTCAGGCTACACAGCCCCTGTGCCTTGTATGGATATAACTTCTCCACGTCCCCCAAACTGGCTGCCAGTCCTGAGAAGATTGTCTCTTCCCAAGGAAGTTTCTTGGGGTCCTCGCCCAGTGGGACCATGACCGATCGACAGATGTTGCCCCCTGTGGAAGGAGTGCACCTGCTGAGCGGTGGCGGTCAGCAGAGTTTCTTTGACTCTCGGACCCTAGGAAGCTTAACTCTGTCATCCTCTCAAGTGTCTGCACATATGGTGTGATGAAACCTTGAAGTTAAATTGCCTTTGGATCTGTCTAATGTATTTTCTTCTTCTTCTTTTTAAAGCAATATGGAAAGAAACTATCTGTAGCTTGTACAATGTACATATAATAGAAAATGAAGGCTCATTGAGTTTCCTGACATTCTCATGGAGAGATTGTAATTCTCTATGGCATTTATGTATGCTGTATCTTCATGGCGTGTGGAGCCTCACAGCCTCGGTTTTTTCCCGTTTCATCCAGTTGCACAGAGCGTGGCAGCCATGTCGTATGTTTAGCCAAGGCTCTCAGACTCTTTAAAAAAGTAGTAGACTTGAAACTGGGCAATGATACTCACCAGATGAAGACTTATAACTTAATTTATCAGAAAAATGCTCTAAACAGTTTCATACTTGAGTGTTGATAGCCAGCAGTTACCAACATATAGAGTCTCGTGATTTCTGTTATTCTTGGACACAGTGTGAGAACCCCAAATACAAAAGCCAGTGGAAGGCAGAGTATTAATTCTCAAGTGTTTGCAATCATGAAGGATTAGCTTTTTCATTCCTGCTTGTTCTTATTTATCACCAATACTATGTGACCTTGGGTCTATAAAAATTCATAACCCATAATAATTGTTATTTTCTTAAGGAAGGTAGTGGAGAGGCTTGTGATACTTTTCACTTTCCATTGGGCATATATGAGGTGCTTATTCATCTGCAGAGAATGAATTTCCAGTATTTTGTATTCAATTTATTTATTTTATCAAATAGACCGCTAAAGAATGTTCTATAAATATTTTTAAATTCCAGTTTTCACCAGGAAGGGAATATATGTGAGCAGAATGGCAAAAAGAAAAAATTCATCTCAAATTATTTGATTCCAGTGATAAATGTCTGTTTTTTAAAAATAGAGTCTAATACTATTGTCAACTATACCTTAAGTTTTTGTATAGTTTGATATTTCATTTAAGATTTTATTTTCCATCTTGCTTTAAGCTTCCTGGTTCATGGTGTATAAGTAAGGAAAAATACATTTTTGCTACTTATTTTGTCTTTTAATTCTTACAGTTTGAAACCTCCTTTCTTCTTTATCCTTGTCTTCTGTCTGCATCTTTTCTAAAACAGATAGGTCTGAGGTCTGTATGGTGGTAAATAATGCTGTGAGGAATTTCAGGAGGTTATCTCCAGCAATCTGTCTTTTGGGGACTGTAGTGCAAAGGCCAAAGCCCATTACTATAAAGGCCCTCTTGGAGGACTAAGAAGGAAGGTACTCATTATGATAAAGGAACTATAAAACTTTTAATCTCAACAGCATTTTAAACCCTGGAGCCGAAGAAGCGAAAAACAACCCTTAAAAAGAAACTTCCTAAAATAATGTATACATGGTTGAAGAGTTTTTTAAAAAAGGTCATTTTGCTAGCACATTATGTGGTAAATAGAAAAGGCTAAGAATACAGGATGAAGAGAATCGCCCTTCTGATGAGAAAGTCAGATGCCATGTCTTTGCATCGACTCATGGCATTTCATGTGCCTGCCAAGCAAGAAGAGAGGGATTTCCTTTCATTGCTCAACAGAATTACTTTAACTGATCCCTAGTTTAGATGGGAAAACAGTATAGCTCCCGATTTGCTTCTTTATTTTGAAACACCATGAGTGTTAGCCATTTAGGGGGATATACGGTTTGAACTGGGTTTGCACAGGACATGACTTGACTCTGTTTATAGATACTGACAAATTTCCTCCTGATTCTGTAGCAGTTCATCAAATTAATATTGATTTTTAAATTCAAAATGAACATGAAGGGATATGAAATATTTGCATTAGGTAGACCGATATCAGATGTTTGTGTGTGGTGTTAACTGCTTGACACACATTTGGGAAAAAGACTTTAAGAATGAGTGCATCTTAGTCTTGGTGCTTGGTATCATTCAAGAATAGAGAGTTTTCTATTGAGAAAACATGAAATGTAATGCTGTGTATTCCAATGTATTAAAGAGAACATTTTCCTTTTTGCTGTTAGTAATTTGAGATGACACCACAATAAGGTAGAATGTTTTATTAATCTTTTTTTGGTAAAATTTTACAATATTGTTCAAATGCTGTTTCCTTTAGGGTTTACTGTAAATATTAACCACCATGTCACTTCAAAGACTAGCCTTTTATTGTTGTACTAAATGACATACATACATTGATAATAATAATTATATATCTGTATTTTATTAAAAAGTGCTTAAAATTATATTAAAGTGTGTTATTAAATCCTTTCATGATTTTGGAGTGTAATCATTTTAAGTGTTGGAAAATATTGTTTCCAGAGTGAGCACACACATGCATACTCCAAACACAAATTCTGTAGCTCTCAATTACAAGGCAGGGAGAAATGGGCCTGCTGTTCATTTTTCATGTGTTAAATATAATTTCTTGGTGTGTTGACCATGTCATTGGAGGTGAAGGCCTTGACAAATGTTGAACACATGAAAGCTTGAATTTGAAAGCAAGAGGGCAGGGTGATATGTTTTGTCTGGGGTCCAGGGAGAAAGGCTAGGACACAAGAATGAGTTGCTTGCACCACTGACCAGTGATGACAGATCACTTCTATGCCCCTGGACTAGTAAACATTCCAAGGGCCATCATGATGGGGTGAGGTTACTGCTATCAAGACCAGTCACATTTTGAAAATTAACACTTGCTTCCATACAGTTTCCCTCCCAGAGGTCAGCAGCTTTCCACAAGTGGGGCGCCCAGTTGCTGACCCTTGATTTCTGGAATGCGAGGGGTCAGGAAACCTTAGTTTCTCCCCAAGGAGGCTGGGACACAATGTGGCCTATATAGGAAAGGATTACACTCACTTCTTACATCAATTAGCAAAATTTTGAGCAAAAGGAACCTCGTTTTAAAAGTATGAATAGCTCTCCATCACTCCCCCAGATTTGAGCCTATCAGTAACTCACGTTTTAGTGTGAAGTTGATGAACAGCAACTTTGGAGATAGCTGGCGATTTGATTAGGAGGAAAAGAGTCATTTTTATGGCAGGGCAATTCTGGGAAGAAGTGGATCAGAAGGAGAAGGGAGGAAGGACCCTAACTAAACTCTGTAGAGTCCCATGAAGTCCTGAACCATGAAAAGCAATCATTTCATAAACTGCTTTCGGGAGCCAAGGTAGAGTTGGTATATGCTACCCTGATGCTCTCTTTAATTAGAGAGATTTTAAAAGAGTCCTTTATTTCACAGTGTAACGTAGTACTAAATTTCCTCGTGGGAGATTTATTCACTCATCTATATGAACATCTTGCCAAGCTTTCCCCTAGGAATTAGTGAGTTTTACCTTGTTGCATTTTAATCTCATTGTTCACCCTTCTGAAAATAAGTGCTCAGATAAGCTGAGGGCAAGGTTAAATATGTGAGATAAGTTGAAAGCAAGGTTAGATATGTGAGTAGTTAAGTAGACATATATGAGTACAGCTTTCTAGGAGCTCAAAGCTTAAAAATTAACACTATGAGTGATAGATATGAACAAAAATATATATTCAAGTATAGAAACTTCAAACAGATGGATAAACTTACATCTGTCTACACACTGATAGATTTTTCAACTAAGTGTTCTTTTTATGAAATTTTGGTATGATGAGAACACGATTGCCTTGGGACCTGTGGAACTTAATTTCAAACTATAGATTTCTCAATAGTGGGTAAAAACTTAATGACTTTTAAGGTCTCAGTTTTCCAATATGTGAAAGCTATGACTGGGATGAGAACTGTTACTAGTCCTTTTAGTTTCAAATACATATGATCCTAGTGTATAAATATTTAGCTTAATACTAGGAAACTAGTTTTATAAAACATATCTTTTAGAACCTACGTCTTTATTCTTGGATATATAAGTTTTATACAGAACATAACATTACTAGGGTTATTTTCAATTTATTGAATTATGTAGAATTTATTTTTTTAAGTTGCTGCAGTTAAAAAGTTCATAGTCAGATCTTGGATAGAATTTATCTTTTACGTGGAACTGTCCTTTAGTTATATAGGACAAATTTGAGTATGCCAATATTTGAAGGAAGCTATACTTATTCATGTATTTGCTACTTTATATTGAACAATACAATATATTAACAAAATTTCATTTTCATTCTCTTAATTGCATGGCATAAATTTATTCTGGAATAAGTATGGACATGTATTATAATATCTAGAGATCAGTACAAGTCCATTTAAAATACATTTAAACCTTGAGAAAACACTTGAACTTATTTTTTTAAAGGGTTTTATTCATGCTGAGACTCAGATATAATAATGTGAAGTAGTTTATTACTCTGCGATTCACTGAATTTATACAATGCTGGATCAACACACAAATCCTGTGTCCACGTTTTAAGTCATATTAATCAGATCACCAGGATAACTTAATAATAAGGCCAAGACATTTTTCTAAACAGCAGTTATATAGAGATATAATTCACATGGCATATAGTTCACCCATTTAAAATAAACAATTGAATGATTTTAAGTATATTCATAGAGTTGTGCAGCCATCACCCCAATCAATTTTAGAACATTTTCAGCAACCTGCAGAAAACTCCATGCCATTAATGGTCACCCCCTTTTCCCTCCCCTCCTTTCTTTTCCCAAAATCCTAGGCAACTACTAATCTACTTTCTGTCTTTATAGATTTGCCTATTCTGGACATCGCATGTAAATTGAATCATACAATATATGATCCATCGTGACTGGCTTCTTTCACTTAGCATAATGCTTTAAAGGTTCCTTCATGTTGTGGCACATATCAATAACTTAATTTCTTCTTAATGCTGAGTAATATTCCATTGGATAGGGATACCACAATTTGTTTATCTTCATCAATTGATGGACATTTGGGTTGTTTATCTGTTTATCTATTATGCATAATGCTGCTATAAATATGTGTGTACAAGTTACTGTGTGGATACATGCTTTAATTTCTCTTGGGTATATGCCTAGGAGTGGAGTTGCAGGGGACTGAGGTAACTTTTCAAGCAACTGCCAGACTGTTTTCCAAAGCAGTTGCACCATTTCACATTGCTGACCAGCAATGTGTGAGGGTTCTGATTTCCCCATATCCTCAATGACAGTTGTTACTATTAATCTTTTTGACTGGAGGCAGCCTGGTGAGCATGATAGTTTCGGTTTGCATTTCCCTGATAATTAATGGTGTTGAACATCTTTTTCTGTGCTTTGTTTGGCCGTTTGTATATCTTTTTTGGAGAAATGTTTGCTCAGATCCTTTGCCCATTCTTTAATTTGGTTGTCTTTTAATTATTGAGGTGTAAGAATTCTTTATATATTCTAGATACAAATCGCTTAACAGATATATGATTTGCAATTTTTTCCATTTCTGTGAGCTGTCTTTTAGCCTCTTGATGGTGTCTTCTGTAGCACAAAAGGTTTTAATATTGAGGGGGTCAATTTATTTATTTTTTCTTTTGTTTCGTATGCTTTTGTGTGAGGGTCAAAACATTTTGATAAACTTTTAAAGTCTGCATTTTCACATTCTTAGTAGTAGTAGAAGTAACAGAAGTGTACTTTAAAAATGCTTTACAGGTGTAAATGTAATAGTACTTGATAGATTACACTTCCTTCCAACACAACTGAAATGTTCACAGGGAAATGAATTATGTCTTCTGTGTCTTAAGGGCAGATAAAAGAATCACAAAGCATTAGGAACTTTGTATTACCATATAAATGGTTGTCACTTTCAATATTTATTCAGTAAATAAATATTGACTGGGCATTGACTCTATCCTTGGCACCCTTTTAGATATTTGGGATACTGCAATGAACGATGCCGTTGGTGTCTCCAAATGCCTTGTAAAAGCTGAAATGCTGGTTTGCTGGAAAAAATAAAACCTTCATATTGCAATATATCACAGCTGGCAGGAAGAAAACCCTATTGCCTGTTGGCATTTCTATGAGTTGGTGCCCTTGCCCTTATTATGATGTTACACATCCCACATGGTCATCGCAAAGTGCTTGCTCCAGTGCCAAGATACAACAGGGATGCATTATCGCCTTAACTCTGAGTTTGTTTTGTGGCTTTTCTTTGGAAACCCTCACATCATTTAAAATTCATTTTTTTCAATTTGGCTCTGTTTACAGAACTGTAATAAGATATTTCTCTATTAATAGCAGGAAAGGAAAACTGTGCTTGTTTAGGGTTTTGGAAAACTCCTGCACATTTTTCGTAAAGGTATTTGGTGAAATGGATTGCAGAGATTGGCAGATTCCTTTTTTCTTAATTTGCTTAAATGAATTTCAAGAAAATATTTTTCAAACAAAGTAGAAGCTCCCACTCAGCAACAGTAAAGAGAATCTGAAAAGTCATTTCTACCACGTGCTGTTACAAAGCCCTCGTCGCTTGCCTTGAGGACGTTTGACTCAGAATGAATGAATCTCACAGGGGACCCCCATGTAGCTTCTGCTAATTTTTTTTTTTTTTTTGAAGTTTGATGACCTTGGCGTGTGGAAAGGAGGGAAACTAGAAATTGTGTGTGTTTAAAAATTTGTTGTCTACTCAGTTTTACCTTGAAGATACTGAGAGGGTAGAGAGACAAAAGCATAAAAATATAGAACTAGGAGGTCTTTAGAGCTCAAGTAGGAAAGAGGTGTTGCATGTGACCTCCAGAGGCAGCCATCGTGATGTCTCTACAAGTTTGGAGACGTCATTCAGCAAGTTCAGTGACAGTCCCCTTGCAATTCCCATCAAGCATTTCGCAAGCTTCCTTGTCTTTCTGATCACTTTTCTCTCAGTCCCGAATGTCTTCCCCTACCTACCTTCTCATTTCCAAGGATTTCTCTCCTCAGTGAAGCTTTTCCAAATTTCAATTTCTCTCATCTACCTTTCCTCAGGAGAAATAAGCTCTTCCTCTAAAATGTTGCCACAGTACTCCGTGCATACCCCTCTTGAAGAACCTACCTCAATATTTGCTTTCCAAGTCGGTCACCTAGCCCAGGTCTCATGGGATTCCCTGAGGGAAGGAGCTCTCTCTCTTTTATTTTTTGCCACCAGGACCTAGCAAAGAGAAGGTGATTGATAAAGGAAGATGATAAATAAATATGTGAATGAAAATGAGAAAACTAATGAACTTTGAATTGGGATGTCTGGAGGTTTTGCTTGGGGAACTGCCTTACCCCTTTGCAAGATAAGAAGAGACACAGAGAACTGAAGCGTCCTCACAAACAGACAGGATAGGAAAGGCTCCTTTCTTTTTTCTGCCTGAACGGAGTATTGTGGCTGGCATCTGAGTCACTCCTCCCAAAACTATAGGTATTTTATCATCGTCTTCGAAAGGAGAAAGGAGAGCTGCTCCTAAGGGAAGAAGGCCTTATCTGCAACTTGGAAATCATCCCTCCTGGAGAGCTTCCCCTGGCTAAGCCGGAGTTTCAGGAGTTGAAGGTTTCTGCTGCAGGCACCCCCTGGGGTCTAGTTTAAGAATGACGTGAGGAAAGTGAGGCGTTTTACATCCTGGGGCATCTGGGCCAGTCACCAAGGTGTTACTGATTGCA